GCAAGGTCCAGAGTTCGATCCCCGGTACCAAAAAAAAACAAAAACAAAAAAATAAAATAAAATAAAATCAGGAACAAGACAAAGATGTTCATTATCACCACTCCTGTTCAATATAGTACTTGAAACACTAGTCAGAGTAATCATGCAAGAGAAATAAAAAGGATATACATATAGGAAAGGAAGAAGTCAAATTATCATTATTCACAGATGCCATGACCCTCTACATAAAAGACACTCCAAAAAAATCCACCAAAAGACTCCTAGAATTAGTAAACAGATTGAATATTGTAGCAGGATACATAATCAGCACACAAAAATCAATAATGTTCTTTTATAACAATAAAGAACTCAACTCAGAAATTAGGAAAAAAATACCATTCAAAAGAGCATCAAGAAAATGTAAATACTTAGTAATTACCCTAGGAAGTGAAAGACCTGTACAAGGAAAACTACAGTACTTTGAAAAAAGGAAATTGAAGAAGACATCAGAAAATGGACCAATATCCCCTGTTCCTGGGTAGACAGAACCAATATTGTCAAAATGAACATACTTTCAAAACTGATATACAGATTTTTTTTTTGGTACCAGGGATTGAACTTAGGTCCCTGCACTTGCACAGCAGGCAGCAAAACCACTGAGCTAAATCCCCGGCCCCTAATATACAGATTTAACAAAATCCCAATCAAAATACCAACAGTATTCCTCACAGGACTAGATAAAATAATCCTAAAATTCACATGGAACCAGAAGAGCAAAACAGTCTTGGGCAAGAAGAACAAAGCAGGAGGCATCTCAATCTTGGACTTCAAGTTATATTATTAAACTACAGTGATTAAATACAGCTTGATATTGGGACAAAAACAGACAAGTAGATCAACAGAATGGAATAGAGGATGTAGAAACAACCCCACACACATTTAGCCAACTGATCTTTGACAAAGGGGCCAAAAAACATACAGTGGAGGAAAGATAGCCTCTTTAACAAGTGGTGCTGGGAAAACTG